AGAAATCAATAATAAAAGGAAAATTGGAAAATTCATAATAAATATGTGGAAATTAAACAAATGCTCTTAAACAACAAATGGATCAAAGAATAAATCATAAGGGAAATTAGAAAATACTTAGAGATGAATGAAAATGAAGACATAACATACCAAAACTTAAGGGATGCAGCAAAGGCAGTGCTTAGAGGGAAATTTATAGTAAAAAATGTCTGTTAAAAAGAAGAAAAATCTCAAATCAGTAATCTAACTACACTTTAAGGAACTAGAAAAAGAAGAGCAAACTAAACCAAAGGTAGCAAAAGAAAGGAAATAATAAAGATTAGAGATAAATGAAATGGAGAACAGAAAACAATAATGACAAAAAAGAGAGAAGATGCAAATAGCTAAAATAAAAAGAGTTGGTGGACAAGGGAAACAAAAGAAAAAATAAACAAGTGGGTCTTCATCAGACTAAAGAGCTTCTGCAAGGCAAAGGAAACCAGGATCAAAATGAAAAGACAACCTACCCGCTGGGAGAAGATATTTGCAAATCATATATCTGACAAGGGGTTAATATCCATAATATATAAGGAACTCACGCAACTGAACAACAAAAAAACAAATAACTCAATTAAAAAATGGGCAGAAGATATGAACAGACATTTTCCCAAGGAAGATATACAGATGGCCAATAGGCATATGAAAAGATGTTCAACATCACTAATCATCAGGGAAATGCAAATCAAAACTACACTAACGTATCACCTTACACCTATGAGAATGGCTATAATCACCAAGACAAAAAATAAATGTTGGAGAGGATGTAGAGAAAAGGGAACCCTCATTCACTGCTGGTGGGAATGCAAACTGGTGCAGCCTCTATGGAAAACAGTATGGAGATTCCTCAAAAAATTAAAAATATAAATACCTTATGATCTAGCTATCCCACTTCTGGGTATCTACCCAATGAACCTGAAATCAACAATCTAAAGAGGCTTATGCACCCCTATGTTCATTGCAGCATTATTCACTATGGCAAAGAAGTGGAAGCAACCCAAGTGTCTTGACAGATAATTGGATAAAGATGTGGTATATAGATACAATGGAATACTACTCAGCCGCAAAAAAAGACAAAATCGTCCCATTTGCAACAACATGGATGGACCTAGAGGGTATTATGTTAAGTGAAATAAGCCAGACAAAGACAAACACTGTATGACTTCACTCATATGTGGAATATGAACACACGGACAGAGAGAACAGTTGGGTGGTTACCAGCAGGAAGGGAATTGGGGGTGGGCACAAGGGGTGAAGGGGTGCATTTATATGGTGACTGACAAATAATAATGTACGTGGAATCTCACAGTGTTATAAACTATTTTGATATCAATAAAAAAATTTTAAAAAAAGAGAGTTGGGACATTACTACTGATTATATAGAAATACAAAGGAGTATAAGAAAATACTATTGGAGGGAGCAGAGGCAGCAGGGGGTTAGTGCAGGTGCTCCAGCACCCAGCCTCATCCTTCCAACCTCCTCCCCAACCAGTAAAAAAAAAAAAAAGAAAATACTATAAAGAAGTATGTGCTCCCCAAATTATATAACCTAGATGAAATGGACATATTCCTAGACAAACACAAATTACTAAAACTGATTCAAGGAAAAATAGAAAGAAGACATTGAAATTCTGAACAGACCTATAAAAAGCAAAGAGATTGAATCAGTTAAAAAAAAAAGGCCTTCCAAGAAAGAAAAGTCCAGGACCAGATGACTTCACTGGTGAATCCTACCAAACATTCAAAGAAGAATTAATACCCATCCTTCCCAAACTATTCCAAAAAATAGAACACTTTCACACTCATTCTATGAGGGCAGAATTACTTTGATACCAAGGCTACATCACAGGCAAAGAAAATTACCAACAAATATCCTTAGTATCCCTTAAGAATATAGATGCAAAAACCTTTAAGAAAATACTAGCATATTCAACTATATATTAAAAGGATTATACACCATGAACAAATGGGATTTATCACAAGAATGCAAGGGTGGTTCAATATACAAAAATCAATCAGTGTAATGCAGCACATTGATAGAATGAAATGGAAAAACCACACCAGTCATCTCAATTGATGCACGAAAAGCATTTGACAAAACCCAACAGCCTTTCATATAAAAAGCACTCAGAAAATTAGGAATAGAAGGGAACTTCTACACCATCATAAAGGCCATATGAAAAAACCCATAACTAACATCATACTCAATGGTGAAAAACTAAAAACTTTCCCCCTAAGATCAGGAACAAGACAAGGATGCCTCCTTTCATTATTTTAATTCAACATTTTCAGAACTGGAACTTCTAGTGAGAGCAATTAGGCAAGAAAAGGAAATAAAACACATCCAAATTGGAAAGGAAGAAGTAAAACTTTTTCAATATGCACATGATATGATTCTATTTACAGAAAAATCCCAAAGTATCCACAGAAAAACTACTAGAGTTAATAAAAGAATTCAGCAAAGTTTCAGGGTACAAGGTCAACACACAAAAATCAGCTGTGTTTCTGTAACCAGCAATGAACAATCAAAAAAGGAAATAGCATTCAAAGAATACCTAGAAATAAATTTAACCAAGAAGTGAAAGGTTTGTACATGAAAACTACATTGCTGAAAGAAATTAAAGACCTAAATAAATGGAAAGACATCCAGTGTGCATGGATTGGAAGACTTGATGTTGTCAAAGCAATCTTCAAAAAGAACAAAGCCGAAAGACTCACATACAAGCCTGTTCCTAGCAGCACTATTCACAATGGCTAAAAGGTGGAAACAGCCCAAACATCCATCAATGGATGAATGGATAAACAAATTGTTGTATATACATACAATGGGACATCATCCAGCCATAAAAAGGAATGAAGTACATGATACATGGATGAATCTTGAAAACATTACGGTAAGTGAAAGCAGACAGACACAAAAGGTCCTATATAGTATGAGTCTATTTATATAAAATTTCCAGGATAGATAAATCCATAGAGACAATGCAGATTAGTATTTGCCAGGGGCTGAGGGAAGGGGGTATCAGGGAGAAACTGCTTAATGAGTAAGGGATTTTATTTTTGAGTGATGGAAATGTTTTACAACTAGATAGAGGTGATAGTTGCACAACATTGTAACTGTAAATTGCACTGCATTGTTTACTTTAAAATAGTAAATTTTATGTTATGTAAATTTTACCTCAATAAATTATTTAAAAAAAGATTTAGGAGTGTTGTTCCCTGTATTAGGATGCAATGAGCCTTTCGCAGGTGGATCTGAGCACTGTAAGGGTGGGTTGGCACCCGGCCTGAGCACTCATCCCTCAATTGCTTTGAGTGTTGATGTATAAAACTCATAGCTGCCCTTTTCCCCAGAGACTTGCCCTTGCTATAACAGGAGCCGCTTTGCCCTGGAGGCTACAAACTGCTGTCTCCACCTACTCCTCCTCCAACACTTGGCTGACTTGCACAAAAAGCCCCCTAGTCTCAAAGTGGAACCAACTCGGTGGGGCACTTTGCCCTCCAGAGCGTCCCTGTGGGGTGGGGGGTGGGGGTGGGAGACTGCAGCTGGCCTCCAGCCAAGCCCACAACCTTGCTCAGCTCCCTGCCTCCTGCCCTCTGCTGCTCCACTCAGTCTCTCTTCTGAGAGAACCGCCCCAGTGCGTCATTTGAACAAGAACCGCCTTCTCAGACTGCTTCCAGGGAACCTCGTGCAAAATGTTTACGTAAAACCAATACTGATGGTGAATTTATGGCATTTGAATTATATCTCAATAAAGCCATTATATTAAAAAATACTAGTCATTTATAATAACTAAAGGGTTATTTTTTATTTTGGGGGGAGGAAGATCGACCCTGAGCGAACATCTGTGCCCATCTTCTTCCTGCATTATGTATATGGGACGCTACCACAGCATGTCTTGATAAGTGGTGCATAAGTCCGTGCCCCGTGAACCTGCGAATCCCAGGCTGCCAAAGCAGAGCATGTGAAGTCAACCACTATGCCACTGGGCTGGCCCGTTATTGTTGTTTTTAAAAGCCCCCCTCACCAGGGTAATGCAATCCTGAAAATCCCGGTCAGGTTAAATCTCTTAAGGTGAAATTTTAATATCAGTAATTTAAAGGGGAAAAACATTTGTTCTCGACTCGCAAGTCAATCCCCATTCTTTTTAAAACACTAAATTCCATTGATATGGTCTTTATTACACTAAATCAAGAGTCAGCCTGGGTTACCCTCGCATGACAGATCCAGATGGTCTCCCTCCATTAATGTAGTTGATGACCTGCAAGTTTTTTTGTGGCTTTTTGCTCGGTGAAATCCATACCCACAAAGCATGCACATACACTCAGTGTTTATATAATTCAACGTTTACTGTAAAAAAGAAAACAACAGAAACAAATATAAATAAAAACGATGGAAATGATGCACAAGATGATCATAAAAACACTAGTGAACCACAAGTACTGGAGAGAAGTGAACAGGCAGCAGCACGGTTCCCCGCAGCCCTCGCCACTGAGGAGCACCATGTCCGCGCTGGTTCTCAAAAGGAAGGAAAGCCTCACACGCTGAAATAGGGCTTTTAAAGGAAGCCTTTCTTAAAGTCTTAATTCTTAATTTCTTGTAACCCAAATGGGTGTGCCTTGTGATATGGCTGTATTGACCTTTGTGTTAGTGACAATCACATTTGTGTCCTGCAAAGGAAGGCTGGACCTGTCACCTGCATTCACTTGTGTGCCTGTGACTGCAGCCTCAATGTACTGGCCGCACCTCCTGAAAAACCTGTGGAAGGAACAGCTGTCTGCTCAAAATCATTTTTTAAAAAAAGTTGGTTGGGAGACTAAAGAGGAAAAAGAATGGGAGACCATGTGAAAAAAGGGTGGAGGCCTCCCAATTCTGCAGGGGTGGGAATAGGGGTAGTCAGGGATTAGAAACCATTTCCTTGGTGGAAATGCAATGAATAGATCCTGAGGTCAGTTTTAGGGGAGGAAAAAAAAACACCACCTAAATTTCCTTTTATTTAAGAGAGACACAAAGCATGTTCCCTGATTCTCTTCACTGTCCGATCCTGGGGCAAGGGTTATGATGCTGATTCCTAATTCTGCTTCAGAGTGTGGTATGGACCTCCTAACACCTGTTGAGAGTGCTTGCTGGTGCTGACCCCATCCCTGTCCCTGAGTACAGGGGAGGGGACAACTGTTGAGGGGTCAGGTATCATGGGCCATGAAAGTGGGGGAGGCAAATGGGATGGCTGAGTTTGTAGGAAGTAGAGCAGGGGATGGCCTGGAAGAGTTTCTCAGTTCAGAGCTGGAGGGTTGCGGAAGGGAGGGGTATTCTGAAAGCCACTCCACACCCAACAAGTTGGCCATGGAGAGAGGCCTCCTTCTGACTCAGGAGGGAGATGGGCTCTCGATGCTGCCACGCTGCTCTTGCTCCGGCATAGTCTCCTCCTTCTGCTCCAAGTCAAAGTTCTGTGAACAAGGTTGCAGGTGAGGCCTGGCCCGGCATTTACTCAACTGTAGCTCTGATACTTCTAGGAGCGGTGCACACAATGAGCATGTGCTGCCTGCAAAGGCATGCAAGAGCCACTCTATTGGGTTATATTCTGCATCCCTCTGAAGAGACGCCTTTTTCTCTATCCCACCTGACATTTGGGCCTGACCTACCTCAAGCTCCTGCAAAACCTCGTCCATGAAGTCCCGGGAGTTCTGTTTGTAAGACACAGCTAATCGAATTGCATCATTGAAGAGCTGGGGGAAGTGTTAGGAAGGAAAACATAGCAGTGGGTACCACTGCCCTGGACTCCGCCTGCACAGTACCCACAGGTCCCGTCCTAAGTCCACACAATACTCCACCCCTAAAATCAGCAAGGTCACCCCTCAATTCACCTTCTCCCCAACACCCTAACCCCATGCATGGTCAATGGACTTTTTCCTCACCAAGCCCAGGCCCATCACCACCTCTACTGTCAATACTTACAATGACCCCTTCCTGTCACCACATGCCCACTTACGGTCCCCACAACAATGCCCATCCTCTCCATCATCCTTGCAGCAAGCCCTTCTCTTCGTAGCTTCCCTGGTCACTTCACCATCCGCCCTTCCCCAACCTCACTAGAATGCCCCCACAGTCTACCATTACCTTCACAACGTTGGTACCATCGGCAGCCGAGACAAAGTACAGGGGCAGAGAGAACTTCTTGGCAAAATTGAAGCTTTTTTGGGTCATCTTTATGTCTGCTGTAGAGAAAAGGTAGGACATTGGCCCGTCCATCAAAGGAAAGGGAGAGGGTTTCACAGGGTAGGTCACTGGAGGCCCCCATTCCAGAATGTGGGATGGACAGGGACAGTCAGGGGATGTGACCTAGAAAGAGTTCATTTCACAGGGATCCGTGCCTCAGGAAGAGGGCAGGTTGGCTCAGTTGGCATCTTTACTGGGAAGGGAGTGATGGCAAGCAACCAAGGGCTTTATCTTGGGAAGGAGGATGGATCACTGAAGGTTTGTTGCCCCAGGAAAGGAGGAAGAAACGTGTGGTGGTGGGTCCCCCATGAACTGCTGACACCCAGATGCAGGGATGGCCCCACCATCGATTTTATTGGCCACCACGATGCATGGGATCTCTGGCCTGAACTCCCGAAGCTCCGTATACCAGGTGCTTAGGTTCTTGTAGGTGACTTTCCTCTGTACATCAAACACCTGCAATGAGCAGAGGAAAGAAGTCAGCTCAGGTGCGTCAATGTCACTGCACGCCACCCCCAGGTGACTCACACACACAGGCAGGTGAGCATGGCCACGTGCCATGGGCTTGGGATCCTGGATTGGGCATCTGCTCTGAGCTGCAGCCCCTGTGACCACAAAGGCTGGGCTTGTGTGTGCTCTTTCAGGGAAGCCCTCTAGACCCTCCAGATCCAAGTGTTAAAATCTTTATTCCTTTATTTGTTATCTTGTCACCTAATCCTATTTACCTATTTTAACCAAGTTGTATCATTTTACTAATCAATATAGTCTGTTACAAATTGTGAACTTCTTTTCTTAGTCTAGTCTTATTTTAATTGCTTAAACTTTGTTTTAAAATTCCTTTGTAATAATTTTAAATGTTTCTAGAACCTTCCTTTAGTTACTATTGACTTCCTTTTAACTTTAAGATTTTGTTTAATCTTCTATTCATTTTGTATTTTAAACTTCTTAAAAGTAATTTTTATCTTTTATTTTGTAGCTTATCATAATTTTATTAACTTTTTATAATTTATAGCTTTTACCTATTTTAAAATATCAGCAAGAAGCATGAGCACTTTGGACTTGCTCTAAGGGCAGGGATGCCAGAAGTCCTAAGACACTTCAAGTTGTTCCTTTCTCCCTTGCAGGGATCCTTCAAGCCCCTCACAGGAGCTCCTCACAGGCCAGCTCCTGCTTCCAAGCCATCCTCCAGAACAGACTCAGAGGCCCAAACCGCCCCAGCACAACAGTGGATTGAGATGAACAACCCTGGAACCGCTGATCTTACTTCTAAACCACCCAGCCCTTCATAGGAGCAACATGGACCACACCCAGGGCCAGGGGCTTGCCCTGCATGGCGGGCATGGGTCAGCAGTTGTCACACCCCGAGGCAGCAGGAGGTCCACCTGAGAGGCTCTTCCATGGTACTCCCTAGGCCCAATTCCAATGACCATGCTCTCTTAAATTCCCAATAAAGACTTCTTATAAAGCATGCTTGTAATCAAACTTCTCCAATGTGCTTCACACCAGGCTGCCTCCCATGATCACCATCAAACAGTCACCTTTTGCCCAGGTTTGGGTTCCTGAGCTTCCTCTCCTTGTTTTGAGAGCTGAGGAGAAGCTGGCTGGGATGAGTAGCATCCCCATCAGGGTTTCAAGGTGGAGAGTGGAACCCCAGCTCCCTCTGCAACTATAAGATCCCCACATGGTCATCAGAAGGTGAGTGCCTTCTACCTGCCAGGCCCCATGCAGCAGTCTGGGGTGGGTGGTAGGCATCGACAGAACAGGCACACAGGGATGCTGGCAGGACAGACATCCCTGGGCCTCTGAAAAGGGTCCAAAAGGAGCCAATGGAGACATGTCAGAGGCAGGAGGTCACTCCCAGAGAGAAAAGAGAGGTGGGCTCAAAGCACCAAGTGCCAGTGCAGAACAGACACAGAAATGGCTGGGACCCACACCCTCCCAGTTCTCAAGGGTCAGAGATGTTGACTATGCAAGACTTCAAGTACAACCTCGGGCACTACCCTGTCACCCTCTTTTGTCTTGTCCCCTTATAGGTACTAGTATTAAAATTTTGGAAAATTCCAAGGGCTCTTGTACTTAAAGGATAGTGGGCCCAAGGATGGAGCCAGGGAGTTTATGGGAAGGAGGTCCTAGGGACACAGGTTTACACAGCTCTTCTCTCCTTTCTTGGTCCTTCCCATGGCTGAGTTTCAGGTCCTCTTGTCGCACTTATTACCCCCTGGCTACTGGGGTGGACCACTGAGGACTGTGTTCTAGACAGCAAAGTGAGGGGCTGGGAGGGAGGAGAGGGGCTGGTTTGGGAGGGAAAGTTCCTTGGGAACCATAGGGTCTACTCTGAGTAGGTGGACGCCATCATGGAGGGACTGTGTTTGCTTCTTTCGTTTTTTTTTTTTTTTTTTTTTTTTGGTGAGCAAGATTGGCCCTGAGCTAACATCTGTTGCCAATCTTCCTCTTTTTGCCTGAGGAAGATTCACCCTGAGCTAACATCTGTGCCAATCTTCCTCTATTTTGTATGTGGGACACCGCCACAGCATGGCTGACAAGTGGTGTAGGTCCACGCCTGGGATCCAAACCCACAAACCCAGGCCGCCAACGAGGAGCGCACGAACTTAACCACTATGCCACCAGGCTGGCCCCATTTGCTTCTTAGATGCTCTGCCTGATGCTGAAGCCCTGAACTTGCTGCTCCCCTAGCATGGTGGTTATTCACCCATCCCCACTTGAAGAGAGGCTCACCCTGGCATGCTCTCACTCAAAACCTCTGGGGAGCACATATATTTTGAAGTATCCCCCAGCTGCCCAATCCCCTCTACCCCCACACCCAGCCCTGGTGGGGAGGGTTCACTGCTGCTGGGTCCCTTAGCCCCTCACTCCTCAGGCCAGACTTGCCCAGCCTTTGTTTGCCTCCCAGCTGGTCTCGTACCATGATGCAGGCATGGGCCTTGTGGTAGTAGGAGGCGTGCATGCTCTGGAACCGCTCCTGGCCTGCTGTGTCCCAAAAGTCTGCAATATGAACACAGCTCTGACTGTCTGATGGGGGCTGGAGGGCAGACACTCGATGCCCTGAGCATCTCTGTGCAGGTCTCTGAGTGCTGAAACACAACGCACAAGTTGGAAGGATGGGGAGGAATGGAGACCACGCAGCTCACACGTGTGTGTCGTCAGGACACGAAACACCTGGGTGTGCCATGAGAGGTGTGTGCGTGTGTGTGGGGGTGGGTGAGAGGGAGACAAAGGGCCAGGGCCAAGAGGAAGGAGAATGCACACAGGAAGCCTCAAGAGGAAGAAGGTAGGTGCCCCCCTTCCCCCACCCACAAGATGCGGGACTCTCCAATGTCAACACTAGGCAGACTTCCCACGTGTGGTGACCACAGAGGGACACAGGTAGGATGTGTGGCCTGGCCAAGGGGAAGGTTGTGACCTCACGGAAAGTCAAAACCCCTTGAGGAAGACAATATTCAGACCACATTTATTATTTCTTTACACTAGCTAAATGAGAACACTAGGTCAGAGCGTTGGAACTAAGACCCTGTGTGCCTCCTCCTGCCCTCCCTGGCCTCCTGGCTCTCGGGGTCTTCCCTACCACCCCTCGTCCCTGCCTGGGGTCTCATTTCCTCCCTGCTTGACTCTCTCCCAGGGACCTTCTCTCCCCTCCCCCCTCCCTCCCCTTGAGAGTCGGCTAGCTGGGCGTGCTGCTCACCTACAAGGATGGTCTTGCCGTCCACCGTGGCCGTGTGCTTGTACAGGGTCAGGGCGTACGTGGATAGCTGCTGTGGCTGACTGAGTTCAGGTTAAGGAGCAAAGATGAATAAAAGGGAGGTAAGGAAGGTGCTTGGGGGGCGTTGGTGTGATGGAACAGGCCCTCTCTCCTTTGTGTTCTGAAGTTAGGTTTTAAATTGAATGAATGTTGCAGACAGAGGATCAGCTTCAAATATTGCTGGCACAATGGAAATGCAAGGGCGGGAGAGGCTGGGAGTGTGTCCTGGCCATCTAAGTCCAAGGGAAAACATGGAATGGAATTTTACAGAGCTGCTGTCATCAACGGCATCAGCTAGTTGGAAAATGCAACTGTCGATGCCCCAGCTCCTTAATGGATGGGGCTCCTGCGGGCCAGAGAGGAAACTCAGCCATAGGCAGCAACATGACCGTTTCAGCGAAAGAAGCCTCGACAAGCTGTTTATGAATTGTAGTTTGCCTGTGTGTGAACCCGTAACAAAAACCCTGGGGAATAATACTTCCTGAAGCTGCAAGACACTGGGTGGTTTAACCAGCAAAGCCAGGAGGAAGCAGGTGGGTGGGTGCAAAGGAGCACTTGGTAGAAGGTAATGCAAGATACACGCAGACTCCACCTGGGGGCCGGGGCCCAGGGCAGGGAGCAAGAGGCTCCAGGCTCTTCTCACTCATGGTTCTCAATGGATTCCCCTGGGAAGATTTTTAAAACTATCCCAGTTGTCAGGGAAGGTCTCACTCCAAATCTGCACAATGTGACAATTCATGGGAGGAGGGAGAGGCTGGCAACCCATACCTTACAAAGTTCATTCATACTGGAGAATTTTTAAATATTAGAGAGCCCAAGTTTTGAGGTCAGAGAGGTTAAGTGAATTGCCCAATGCCAGAGCTACTCAGAAGAGGAGGGGTTTGAATCTAGGCATTTGACCAGGAGCTATTAGTCATTCTACTTGCCCTCCTAATATAAAGCAAATCCAAATGAGTAAGCTCCACAATATGCAGCATCGATTATGTGTGATGCCATGTGGGTCAGTCGGCAAGAAACCAGCAGGAATGAAACCTGTGCATTCACTCACCTATCCTTCCTCCCTGGACCACTGGAGCAAAGGGGTGGGGAGTGGGGTTGAGTTGGCATGAGGGGGGGAGGAGCTGCAGGAACAAGGAGCATTTCAAACCTTGAAGGATACAATCCATCCATGAGAAATCTCTCCATAAGTCTGTAAGGAGAGTGTGCAAGGTGGTCAGACATATCCCTCGACCTCTCTTCCTTGCCCTGCTGCATGATCTCACAGCTGACAACCTGGGAGCCACCTGTGGCTTCCCACCTCCCATTCACTCCACAGCCACACAGTTTCCTTTTAAGAACAACGCCCAGGAACTGCCCACCCGCCCTCTTCCTGACTGCCCTTAAGTTCCTGGCTCCCTTGCTGTAACAATGCCCAGTACCCACAGCTGCTTTGCCTGCATGCAGGGACCCCGCCTTAATCCTTTTTGGGCACCACAGCAGCTGATGACCAATATTAGTTGAAGAAATACAGGACTTTCTTCAGAGCTCTGCCATATATTGACACTGGAGAAGTCTGTGTGAACCATAAATTCAACAGATCTAAAAGTGAGTTTCTTTAACCCACTAACCCTGCCCCTGCCTCTGAATTATCTAGTTAGTGGCATCACCTGATTCTCCAAGCCTAGAACCTGGGAATTACCATTACTAACCCCTCATAACAAACAGCTCATGTTACTGTAAGTGCACACACGAGCCCCTGTGAGGCTCTCAGATCCATTATTTCTACCTCTTCACACTGTTGACAAGCACAATTGCCCCTGCTTTATGCACAGGAAACCGAGGCCAGGGAGGTGTGCCCTCTACCCAAAAGCCATTTCCCCAATATTCTGCAGGTCCTTCAGGGCTTTGCTCAAATGTCACCTGAGCAATGAGACCTTCCCTGATGATCTTCCTTATAACAGGCAAATTCTGTCTCACCTTGTATTCTATCTCTGCCCTGCAGGTGACACCAACTGAAATATTAGGTATTTTACTTATTGACTGTCTCTCTCTCTCAACTAGAATGAAATGCCCATGAAAGCAGTTTTTGATTTTTTAGTTTATTGCTGCATCCCCAGTGCCTACGACGGAAATCATGTAGACTATAACCACCATCTAAACACCATGCAAAAAACTGTAGCCCCACCTCCACCCCCATCAGCAAAGGCCAAGTGCGGAGCCGAGACTTCCACCCTTTTGCCACTGTAATGAGGCGCCCCAAGATTCCCACGCTGGGTTGGTGTCAAAGGCGGCCAAGCAGAGAGCCAGAACTTTCTTCCCTACCAGATGGTAATGGGGCTTGCTCTCCCCATAGTGTCAGTGGAGACCACAGGAGCCGGGACTTCACTCCCACCAGCAGTTAGGGAAGTGGTGGGTGTGGGTGGTGTGCTGCCTCTCCCCCTTCTCCTGCTGAAGCAGTGCCACAAGAAGCCAGCTAAAACAGAGGGTTTAAATAAGATCCACAGTCTCATAACATGATATTCAAAATGTCCAAGTTTCAACCAAAAATCATTCATCATACCCAGAACCAGGAAGATCTGAAACTAAAGGAAAAAAGATAATCAATAGATGCCAACACTGTGATGATACAGTTATTAAAGTTATCTGACAGAGCTTTTAAAGCAGCTGTCATAAAAATGCATCAATGAGCAATTACAGATGTGCTCGAAATAAATAAAAATATACAAAGTCTCAACAATGGACTAGTTTTCAGCACAGAAATAGAAGATATAAAGAAGAACCCAGTGGATATTTTAGGACACTTGGAAAATACAAGAACCAAAATGAAAAACTCACTAGATGGGCTCACAGCAGGATGGAAAGAACAGAGGAAAGAATCACTGAACTTTAAAACAGAACAAAAGAAGTCACCCAATACAAATAGTAGTAAGAAAATAGACCAGAAAAGAACGAACAGAGCCTCAGGGATTTGAGGGACTATAAGATGACATTCATGTCATTGGAGTCCCAGAAGGAGGGGAAAAAGAGGACCAGGCTCAAAAAACAATAGAAGAAATAAGGCCTGAAAACTTCCTAAATTTGGAAAAAGACATAAAAGCCTGTAGAGTGAAGAAGCTGAACATAAGTCAAAGGATAAATCCAAAGAAGTATACACCAAGACACAGCACAGTAAAACTCCTGAAATCAAAAGACAAAGAAAAATATCTTGAAAGCAATGAGAGAGAAATGACACTGTCCCTACAGGGGAAAAACCATTCAAATGGCAGAGGATTTCTCATCAGAAACCACGAAGATCAGAAGGAAGTGGCACATTATTTCTCAAGTGCTAAAAGAAAAGAACTGTCAGTTCAGAATCCTAAATCCAGTGAAAATATCCCTCAAGAGTGAAGGGGAAATCAAGATATTCTCATACGAAGGAAAATGAAGAGAATTTGTTTCTAGCAGACCTACCCTAAAAAAATGGCTAAAGAATGGCAAACAGAAAGTAAACAATAAAGAAGGAATCTTGGGGTATCAAGAAGGAATAAAGAACAGAGTAAGAAAAAATATGGGTAAGTACAATAAACATTCTTCTTCCCTTGAGTTTTTAAAATTATTTTTGATGGTCAAAGCACAAGTTATAACACTATATGATGGAGTTCTCAATGCATGTAGAGGAAATACTTAATTTTAATTAAGGGGAGGGTATTAATTAAACAGGGGAGGGTAAAGGGACATAAAGGGAAGTAAGGTGTTTACACTTCACTCTAACTGGTAGACTGAAAAGTTACGTATATACAATATAATACTTAGAACAACCACTACAAAAGCTACACAAAGAGATACACAACAAGACTACAGATAAATCAGAATAGAATTTTTAAAAATGTTCAAGCAACCCACAGGGAGGCAGAAAACAAACAAATACAGAAATGAAAAACAGAAAAAAACTACAATGGCAGACTTAAGCCGTAACAAATCAAGAATTACAGTTGATTGTTGTTATTCATAGTAGTTATGTCCTATAAGGTCACCACAAACAATGAATTAGTGAATATTGAACTGTTGCTCTGAGGGGAATTACAGGGCTAGGTTCCTGTGAGCCTCTGGTTACATTTTTACTGTTGATTCATTAATGTTGACTTCATATTGACTCACCAGGCACTATAACTCATGCCTGAGGAAGCTTATCTAACACACATATTTCTCAGTAAGGCACATCACAGTCTTCTACAAACTATAATACTACAAACAACTTTACACACAAAAATTTGACAATTTAGACAAAATGGACCAATTCCTTAAAAGGAATATTAGGTGACCAAAACTCACCTAATATGAAACAGAGCATTTGAATAGCTCTATAACTATAAATCTCTAGGCCCAAACGGTTTCAGGGGAGAATTCTACTAAACATTCAAAGAATTAGTATCAATTTTACACAATCTCTTCCAGAAAACAGAATAGGGGAGAACACTTCCCAATTCATTTTATGAGGTCAGTTTACCTGATATCAAAACCAAAGACATTCAGCAATATATAAAAGAAGTTATACACCATGACTAAGTATGATTTATTTCATGGATGCAAGCCTAGTTCAATATTTGAAAATCTATCAACGTAATCTACCATATTAACTGGCTAAAGAAGAAAAATCACACGATCATATCAATCGATGCAGAAAGTGCATCTGAAAAAATTCAACACCCCTTCATGATAAAAAAGTCTCAGAAAAATAAGAATAGTGGGGAACTTCCTAACTTTGACGAAGAGCATCTATAACAACTTACAACTAACACATAATCAATGGTGAAAGACTGAATGTGTTCCCCCTAAATTCATGAACAAGGCAAAGATATCTGCTCTTACCTTAGTTCTAGCCAGTGCAATAAGGCAAGAAAAGGCAATAAAAAGCATATGACTCAGAAAAGAATACAATTGTCCCTCTTTGCAAATGCCATGATGGTATATAGAGAAAATACTAAGGAATTTACAAAAAAGACTCCTAGAACTAATAAGTAAGTTCAGCAAGGTCACAAGATAGAAAGTCAATGCACAAAAATCAACTGTATTTCTATACACTTGCAATGCAAACATATATACAGAAATTTAAAATATGATACCATTTATAAATGCTCAAAAAACAAAAAAAAGAGAAATACCTAAGTGTAAGCCTAACAAAACATTTATAGAACTGGTATGCTGAAAACTACAAAATACTGATGAAAGAAATCAAAGATGATCTAAATAAATGGAGAGACACACAATGTTTATGAATTGGAAAGCTCATTATAAAAAAAGATGCCAATTCTCCCAAAATTGATATGCAGGCTTAATGCCTATTAAAATCCCAGCAAGACGTTTTATAGGTATAGGCAAGATTTTCTAAAATTTATATAGACAGGCAAAGGAATTAGAAGAGCTAAAACAATTTTGAAAAAGAATAAAGGGGATGGAATCCATCTACTCGATTTTAAAACTTATTATATAGCCACAGTAATAAAGATTGTGTGGTACTGGCAGAGGGTTAGACACACAGAACAACAGAACAAAAGAGAGAACCCAGGGGGGCTAGCCCCATGGCGTAGCGGTTAAGTGCACGCACTCCGCTGCTGGCGGCCTGGGTTTGGATCCCGGGGGTGCACTGATGCACCACTTGTCAGGCCATGCTGTGGCAGCATCCCATATCAAGTGGAGGAAGATGGGCACAGATGTTAGCCCAGGGCCAGTCTTCCTCAGCAAAAAGAAAAAAAAAAAAAAAGAGAGAGAGAGAGAGAACCCAGAAACAGTCACACAGAAGTACAGCCAACTGATCTTTTTACAAATGTGCAAAAGCAATTCATTGGAGGAATGATAGCCTTTTCAACAACTGACACTGGACCAATTGAATACTGTATCTATAAGCAAAAAAAAAAAAAAGAAAAAAAAACTTTTACCCAAAACCCTCAGACTTTAAATAAAAGTTAAATCAAAATTGATCACTTAATGACTTAAATGTAAAATCTAAAACTATAAAAGTTTTAGAAGAAAACATAGGAAAAAAATCTTTGGGACCTAGGGCTTGGTGAAGACCAAAGCCCATGACTTTGGTAATACCAAAAGTATGCTCCATAAAAGAAAAAAAAAAGGCAAATTGGACTTCACGAAAATTAAAACCTTTTGTCTGTGAAAGACTCTATTTAAGAGGATGAAAAGATAAGCTACAGAATCGGAGAAAATGGTTGCAAACAACATATCCAACAGAGACTAGTATCTAGAATAATAAAGAACTGTCAAAACTCAGTTAAAAAAATCCAATTAGAAAATGGGCAAGAGACATTTAACTGAAGTGGATGTACAGATGGCAAATAAGCACATGAAAAGATGTTTGACTTCGCTAGCCATTAGGGAAATGGAAATTAAGACCATGATGAGCTGTCACTATACACCTATCAGAATGGCTAACATAAAAATCAGTAACACCAAATGTTGGTGAGGATGCAGAAAAACTGCATCTCTCATATATTACTGGTGGGAAAACAGACACTCTGAAAAAAATTTGAGTTTCTTAACAAATGAAATGTACTTAGTATATGATCTAGCTACAACACAAAACGAAAACTTATGTCCATACAAAAACCTATACACATATGTTCATAGCAGCTTTACGTGTAACAGCCATCACCAAGAAACAACATGTCACTTAACTGGAACATTTTGGAAAAAACAAACTGTGGTACATCTATACCATGGACTACTTAGCAATAAAAAAGAACAAACTATTGATATACCCAACAACTTGGATGGCTCCTAAGGGTATTATGCTCAGTAAAAAAGGTCACATACTGTATAATTCAATTTATACAATGTCGCCAAGATAACATAATTACAGACATGGGGAATAAATTAGAGGTTACAAGGGTTAGTGATGGTGGGCGGTGGAGTGGGATGGCTGTGACTATAAACAGGTAGCATGACCAAGGTCTCTGCGGTGATGGAATAGTTTTCTATCTTGATTCTCGTGATGGTTACACAAATCTACACGTGATAAAATGATACAGAATTATAGACTTGCATTGAACCAATGCCATTTCCCTGATTTTGATATTGTACTATAGCTCTGTAAGATGTAACCACTGGGGAAGCTGGGTGAGGGGTACACAGGCACTCTCTGTAACATCCTGGGAATCTATAATATTTCAAAATGAAAATTTAAGAAAAAGCAAACAAAAAAACAAAGACTGGGAAGATATGTGCAGTGCCAATAACTGACAAGGAATTAATATACAGAAAATATGGGGCCGGCCCCGTGGCTTAGCGGTTAAGTGCGCGTGCTCCACTGCTGGCGGCCCTGGTTCGGATCCTGGGCATGCACCGACGCACCGCTTCTCTGGCCATGCTGAGGCCGTGTCCCACATACAGCAACTAGAAGGATGTGCAGCTATGACATCAACTATCTACTGGGGCTTTGGGGGGAAAAAAATAAATAAATAAAATTAAAAAAAATATGCAGAAAATATAAACAGATCTGATAAGTGAATAAGAGAACAAGCAACCTGTGTACTAAAAATATGAACAGGCAATTCACAGATGAATGGCTAACAAACATTTGAAAAGATACTCAATCCTTTAATTTAATGATTTAATGATTTTAATGCAAATTAAAATAAAATGAAGTAGCATTCATATCCCTCAGATTACCAAAATCCCAAAGTCATATGACACCAAATGTTGGAGAATTTGTGGAGCAACAGAAACTCTTGTACTGTGCTGGTAGGATTGTAAATTTAATATCACTATTTTGGAGAGTAATTTGGATATCTCGAAGTTTGAGCTAACCCTAAAACTTGGCAATTTCACCCCAGGTCTAAGTGTGTGCCCAAGGTGGCAGGCACAAAAATATTCACTGCAGTATTGTGTCTAATAGCATAAAAATGATAACATAAATGTTCTTCACAGAACAGACTAAACAATTTTAGTACAAACTAATTAAAAAAAAATTTACTGAGTGCTTGCCACTTACCAGATACTACGCTAGGTGCCATGATATAACACTGAACAAAACAGATGAAAACTCTTGTCTTCATGGAGCTTACATTCTAGGGGATGAAGACAGACAATAAATGAGCGCTTAACATATATACAGCCACATATATGTTATGTGGATTTAAAACAAAAACATTACTACAATTCAATGGGGTAAAGGATTATTGTATCGATCAATGGTGTGGGAGCAACTGAGATGCATGGCAATAAATGAACCTTGAGGACATTACACAAAATGGTGGAGGGGGAGGGGCCAGCCTGGTGGCGCAAGCGGTTGGGTGCGCGCGCTCCGCTGCGGCGGCCCGGGGTTCGCTGGTTCGGA